GGCTTAATGAATTTTAAAACAAGAGATCAAAGCAAAGATGCACTAGTTCAAAGAAGAGAAGATGAGAAAACCGGAAGAGAAGGCATTGGCAGAGCTCAGGAAAGAAGTGTTTTTTAAAAAAACCATCTCAGAAGTGAAGGTCATTTCAGAAGCATCAAAAAGGAAGCTAGCCTTGCTGAATACAGATAGGATTGCAAAAAGCAAGTAAAGGAGTTGGAAACGAACAATTAAAAAGGAACCAAGAAATAATATAGCTAACAAGCATGGAGATATAGAGGCATGGGAGGTAACATAAGTACATGAGTTTCTTCAACTTTTATAGCTGTAAATCTTTTTCTTCCTGGTTTTATTGCGATACAGTTCACATATAACATTGTATTAGTTTAAGGTGTGCAACATAATGACCTGATATATGTCTATACTGTGAAATGATTGCCATAATAAGTTTAGTTAACATCCATCACCTCACATAATTACAATTTGTGTGTGTGTGTGATGAGAACTTTTAAGAGTTGTAAATCTTAAGACACCTTTTAAACCTGATAAACCAAGAAACAGATGTATAAGCATATGTATTTAAAGATATAAAGGGAACTAACAATAATAATCAATTAAGACTGGCCAGGAAAAGATGAAAAAAGTATAACAATGACTCTTTTTTGACTTTTGAATTATAGGTAGAAATATACATATCTAGCACCCATTCAAAATGAATGAATCGGGGCTGGCCCGGTGGCGTAGTGGTTAAGTTCCTGTGCTCTGCTTCGGTGGTCCTGGATTCATGGGGTTAGATCCTAGGACCTATGCACGGCTTATCAAGCCATGCTGTGGCAGGCATCCCACATATAAAGTGGAGGAAGATGGGCACGGATGTTAGCCCAGGGCCAATCTTCCTCAGCAAAAAGAGGAGGATTGGCAACAGATGGTAGCTCAGGGCTAATCTTCCTCACAAAACAAAACAAAAAAACCCCAAAACTGGTGAAATCTGAATAAACTCTGTGGATTGTATTGATGTCAGTTTCCTGGTTTTGAGATTGTACTATAGTTATGCAAGATGTTCCCATTGGGGAAAAGTGGGTGAAGCGTGCATGAGACCTCTCTGTACTATTTTGGCAACTTTCTATGAATTTATAATTATTTCCAAATAAAAAGCATTAAAAAAAAAAAAGATATCCAGGCTTCTGTTCCATAACCCCCAACAGCATGCCATGAAAAGACACCAGAGTTTCTTTCCGAAAGAGTCTCAGAATCATATTAGAGCTCTCCCTTCACAAGGACGGTCTGCAATCCACTGCTCATCCTCTTTCCTTTAAACAACATTTACGGAGGGTCAACTGGGAGTCAGGCCTTGTGCTGGAAGCTAAGTGATATGTGATGAATGATTTATGATCCCTCCCCAAGTGAGCTCCCAACCTAGTCCTAACAAAATGGCTTAATATGACAAGAGCATTGGACTAGAGATCAAAAGAATTCTGTCCTCATGGAACAACTTACTAGTTTTTTGATTTTGGACCAATCCTTTATCTCTTGGTGTCTTGATTTCTTAACCTGCAAAATTCAGGAGAATGAAATACATATAAATATATATTTTAAACTTAATCTGGCCCCTCTGGGTGGGTTCAAGGATATCTGGAAATTACCTGAAATTGTATGCAGAAGTACGTAAGTGCATCCCTCTTCTAAGAAGAGGGATTATAACTTTTTTTTTTTCAGATTCTGGGGGCTTACTGACCCATAAAGAGTTTAGAAGAACTGAATTGGATTTTTGGATTTAATCTCTAAGGCCCCTTCCATTCTAACATTCCACAATTCTAATATATCTCATAGATCTTTCCTTACATCTCTAACATGTATTCTATGATTCCAATAGGGATAGAAGAAATGGACTAGAGATCTAACATTCCGTGATTCCAAGTACCACCAGAGTTCATTCTCTTTCCCGAGAGGACAGGATTCAATGTTTCAACATAGAATTCCGGGCTTTTTATGATTTAACCTCCAACTGACCTTCCAACATCAGCTCTCACCCCTTCCCCAGACCCTAACCACTTCTCTCTCTAGCAATTTCCACAAAGTTTTGCTCCCACTCACTTTGTGTCTTGGTACAGACAGTGCCTTTTACCTGGAATGCCCCTAACTCCACCTTGTTTCTTCTTGAGTCTGTCAACTTAGAAAAAAGAGGCAACTGCAAAAACAAAAACAAAAGGAGAACGTTTATTTGGGGTCTTAGAATTGCAATTTGGGGAGCACAGGTACTGGCAGCAGCCAGAAAAGTGTCCCCCTGAGGAGTAAAAGTCTGGAGTTTTTATTAGCAAAAAAGAGAGGCCAGAGCAATTACCTGAGCTGTTTGTTAGGGAGGGTAAATTATGTTACCGTTCATTGGCTTACTCAAAGACGTATTGCTGCTACCAGAAAAAGTATAGTCTTTGGGCCAGCCCAGTGGCCTAGTGGCTAAGTGTGTGCGCTCCGCTTCGGCGGGTCGAGGGTTCGCACTTTCGGATGCTGGGCGCGCACCGATGCACCACTTGTCAACCCATGCTGTGGCGGCGTCCCATATAAAGTGGAGGAAGATGGGCATAGATGTTAGCCCAGGGCCAGTCTTCCTCAGCAAAAAGAGGAGGATTGGCATCAGATGTTAGCTCAGGGCTGATCTTCCTCACACACACAAAAAAAGTATAGTTTTGCATAGTCCTTCAGAAAGTCGTTTCTCAGCAAATAACTCCCTTTTGACAAGTCACAAGGTCAGCAGAGTTTCATATTTTTAACAAGATGGAGTCCATGGTACAAAATGGAGTCACTGTTATCAACTCATTTCACAAGTTTCAGTTTGAAGGTACTCTCCCCCGTGAAGCCTTCCACCACCCCTCCTCCCTCAAGTAGGGTTGGGCGTGCTCCCTTAGCCCTGGATACTGACTGCCTGTTACACAGGGAATAGGACTGCTGGTTCATCAGGGCAGCAAGCCCAACTGCCAGAGGCCAGACAAAGGAAACAAAGGCTTGAACTAGTAGGTATAACAAACTCTAGGCCCCTTTTTTCCCACCTTCGAAAAGAAAATAGAGAAAAATACCAGCTCTGAGGAAAACAACAACCTGAGAGCATTAGCAAATGCAAACAACATTCTATTTCAGAGGACAATAGGGTGTGGTGGGGACTGAGGCCAAGTGTGACAGAGTATCTTGTCTAAAGGAAGGAGACTCAACTCAGCTCCAGCTGATTGTTGACTGGCAGGTATGTGGGTCGGTCCAGTGTGGCCAGCTCATCCACTTTTCAAGTAAGGTTGGAAATCCAGATTTGCACGTGAAATTTCCCAATTTTTACATCAGTAACTAAAAAACATTAAAGACTCAGTGCAATGACTTTCAAGGTTTTCGGGTTCTGGAAAGTGTTCTGTGAGAATCCACTTCTATTCACCCAAAAGAGCACATCCTATGTGAGAGGCAAGTTTTTTTATCAGGGCCACTGGTGTGTTGAGGGTCATTAAACAGGTCCATTCATTCTGCACAGAGCTCAAAGGGACTGCAAAGGCCATACAAAACCTTTCATATGGGGCCCCTGTCTCTCTCTGGGCCCTAGTTTCCCTATCCGTAAAATGGGGATACAAAATATATTTGAGTCACCTGTTAGAATACATTACTTACTGAAGGGCTATCAGAACCACATGCTTTACCTACATCATCTCACTGAAGTCTCATAACTTCTATGAGGTAAGTTCTATTACATCCATATTTTACAGATAAGAAAACTGCAGCTCAGAGATAGCAAACAATTTACCTAATGAAGATAATAGCAAACATTTAAAAAGCCCTTTCTTTCCAAGGTCTTTACTAATTTAATCCTCTCAACAACTCTGGCCTAGGCCAACTAAACTCTGCAATGGGGATTTGGGGATTCAGCCTGACTCCAACACCCCAGCACAGTGCTGTTCAACAGAAATATAATGTACACCACATATGTAATTAAAATTTTTCTAATAGCCACATTTAAAAAGTGAAATGACACAAGTGAAATTAACTTTAATAATATACTTTATTTGACCCAATATATGCAAAACATTATCATTCCAACATGTAATCAATATAAAAAATTGAGGTATTTTACATTATTTTTTTCATACTAAGTCCCACGTGTATTTTACATTGCAGCACATCTCAATTGCGACTAGTCACATTTCAAGGGCTCGGTAAGCACATGTGGCTAGTGGCCACCATACAGGGCAACAACGCATTTACAGTCTATTTACTAATCCTAAAGTTAAAAGCAGAACCCACAGAGCCACCTGTCCACTGGTTTCAGAGGACACACAAAAAAGTAACAATAGCAAAGAGTTCTTGAGCATTTACTTTGTGCCACGGGAAGGGCAGGTTTTACCACGTGTGTGGAGGACCTAACACACGTTATGTTTTGTCATCCTGGAAACAAGGCGAGTGCTACCGCCCTCCTCTTTCGACTAAGGGAGAGACCTCTCCCGACTCGGGCCCTCCCCCAGTGCCCGACCGCCGTCCTGGGGTCCCGCTCCCGCCACCAGCCGGGCGCCAGCCCCCGCGAGCCCGTGGCTCGCCATCATCCTCATCAGGGTCGAGAGGCGCGCACCTCCAGGGCGATGCGATCGTAGTGGATAAGGACCCCTTTCGGCTCCTCCTCCTTCGGCGACGGCGACGGCGACGGCGACTCCGACTCCTCCCTCTCCTCCTCCAACTCCTCCTCCTCGAACTGGTGCACGGAGGCGCCACCATCCCGAGGAGTCCACCATACACTTGGATTGGCCTTCCGCTCCGCGGTCGCAGCCGCCGCCGGACGCGACTCGCGAACGCGAGGGGGCGCCACGTCCGGGAGCCGGGACGCAGCTCTCAGACGCTCGCGCGCCGAGCTCTGCATGGAGAAGCCCTCGGCGACTTCCGCTTCCGGCCGCCCCAGGCGCTGAGCTGGTGCTGGCAGCCTCGGCGCGCTCTCGGCGCGCCCGTGTCCGCCCCCCGCGCGGTTGCGCCTGCTCTGCCCTTTAGCAGGACGTCTCCCTCGTCACCCCGCCCCCGCGCAGACGCAGTGCTGACCCAACAGCTGCGGGACAAAGGGTGACGTCCGGAGCCGGAGTCATGGCAGCGACCGAGCCGAGCTTGGCAGCTTCTGGGAGCCCCGCGCCGCCGCCAGAGAAAGAGGAAGGAGCCAGCCCGAGCTCAGGCCCGGAGTGTAACTCTGCGGGCTCCTCGTCGACCCTTGAGGCCCCACCGCCTGCCCCCGAGCCCTCCTGCCCCAACGCCGTGATCCCCGAAGCGATTCCTACGCCTCCCGCGGCGGGCGCCGCGGCCCTGGAGCTGGCCCTCGGGCCCGCACTCCTGCGCCCCGCGCCGCTTGCCGAAGCCGCTCCGCGCTCCCCTCCAGGCCCCGGCGGCTCCCGGCCCGGCCCGGAGACGTTCCGCCAGCGTTTCCGGCAGTTCCGCTACCAGGACGCGGCAGGCCCGCGGGAGGCATTTCGGCAGCTGCGGGAGCTCTCCCGCCAGTGGCTGCGGCCCGACATTCGCACGAAGGAGCAAATCGTGGAGATGCTGGTGCAGGAGCAGCTGCTCGCCATCCTGCCCGAGGCGGCGCGGGCCCGCCGGCTTCGCCGCCGCACCGATGTGCGCATCACCGGCTGAGCGGCGGAGCTGCGGGCGGCCCGGGCGCTCTCTGGACTGGAGCCACGATCGGGTCCGGGGGCCTGAGCCTGCCTCCCTACTCCGCGTTAACGGAAAACGAGTTTTGGCAGTTCCTGTAGACTGGTGTGTCCCTTCCGTTCGTCCCTTACTGGGTTTATTTTCCCGAGAAAATCAACCTCCTTTCTGGCCGGTGGCGAAACCAAGTTGGGAGCCCATGAGAATAAAGCCTTTGTTTCCTATTCACTTGGCCTTCCTTGGCTTTTGTGGGATCACTACGTGTTGACTAGGCCAAGGCCTCCACATTTGGGAAATTTTTCTCCTGCGCGCTCCCCAGGACCTCACTTGGATTTCCTTTGTTTAGTTAGAGTCTGTGTAATAAGGGTTCCAGCAGCCTGGGTTATGTATTCGCCCCTACCTCTCATTGGCTACAATCTGAGTTTGTTACCTGAAAAGATAGTGGTACGCCTTATTGGTGCTTGTGGGTTTCGGAATCGTGCAAATAGCTGGGTCTATTAGTGCTTACTTAACTGGTTATCTCTGTACTAATTGTGCTACCAACTTGCTCCACCAGCCTGCCCTTTGGGCACAAGTTTCTCAAAAGGCTCAAGCTGTAGGGCTATTTATAAGTGTTTTAGTGACAGAGATAGGTTAGTTCTTGTGAGTTCTGGTTTAAGATTCCACACTCGCCTCTCCTGCCTAGCCCAATTTTAGACCTCTAGAAGGGTTTAAGAAGCAGAACTGGTGTGAACTAATGGATAATTCACATTGCTGGAGTTAATATCTCTCTAACTGCCTCCTTTCATTTTATTAATAAGCATAATTGTTTAGAAAGGGAAGAAGGAATGTGGGAATAATAGGGAAGCTGTGCTATGAAATCTGCAAGTCTCTTCCTTGAGTCGTCTGTTCACCCAGGAAGGAGCTAATTGGGGTCCATAGGCAGTTTGGGTTGGTCTCTGAAGGGTCCTAATTGCAGGGGGGGCCATCTCTTAATATAAGGAAAGCAAAATCTGTCTTCCCTGCAGTGCTTTCAACAATCACAATCTAACAAGCCTGCAGCTCACACCACAAAGTATGAGCAAGTATGGGGTGGGGGCATTTTACTTTTGAATATTAAAGACACTTAAATGAATTCAGTATTTTGCATACGTTCTTGGGATTTAGGATTTTGAGCTTGAATCTGCCTCCCTGCAGAAGATAAATCTTTAGAATGTAAAAGAATGCTTCCTTTAAAAGGTAATGTTTATAAAAAAAATTAATGCTTATTAAAAATAGACAACTTTATAATAACGTGACTGAAACATAGCAACAAAAATGTTTTATTTTTTCCAAATACAGATACAGAAGTTTGCATGTTTTGCAAATATTGCTTCAAAGCAATATTTCTATATACAGCGCCTTCTGTTCTAATAGCGCGTAAACATAGATATGTATCCACAGTGCAATGTTGGCTCATCAAGGGTCCACCTTGCATACACTCCTCACTTAAACAAAATGATTAGTCAAACCAGAACTGTTTTTGTCAAGGCAATTTTTTATAGATGGGTAGTTTTTCTCAAAAGAAAACTTAGGTAGTGTATATATTTCTAAATGGTAACAGTAATATTTGCAAATAACAGTGTCCAGTGCTCCAACTTGGGGTTAATTCAACTTGACCCAGGAATTGGGGTGGAGCCCCTCAACATGGCTTTAAATTAGAGAAGCACACAGAGGTTATCAGAACTTGGAGTCATCTCTGCTTCCCTAAGGATAAAAGTCACAATGAGTGAAATGGGATTATTTCCTTTACAAAATTTAAACAATAAACCCAATAATGGCCACTTGGCAAAATTAGGGTAATTCAGTTTCTGCTTCCATCTTTTAAAAAGACATGAGATTGACTACATTAAAGTTACAGCTTCCCCAGATATGTTCGAATGTTATTTTCAGAAAAGAAAAATTAGTAATCTAATACAACAGTCATACCACACAGTTGTGGCTATAGAAAATCATCCTGTTTCTTCCCTTTTCAGACAAGCATCAGACAATTCTTATAATGTGGCTGTCTGATAAACTATGCAAAACATAGATGCCATGCACACTCCTTGAGCATTTCTTCCCACACCAGAAACACCAATATTAGCAATGGGAAACAGCCTCTTGTAGAGGAATTGCGTCAGCTTTATTACAGATGTCATAGCCACATGTATTCCCTCTGATGGATAAGCGATAGCAGGTCAACTTGCCCTAAATTCATTTTATATCAAATGGTGAACAAATCACTAGACAGAGTATTCCCTGAAACAGATCTTGGTACAGAGGCCTTCATGACCACAATGACCTGTGCCTTAAAGCTTAACCATTCGAAAGGTTGCTGGAGATACTGTCTTTGCTATTGAGATAATGGCTACTTCACGTTTACATAGTAAATATTTGCAGCATATAACATTACAGATTCATAAACCCATAATTAACTTGTGTTAATGGACAACTGTGCTTTGATTTTTGCCTTTAGTGATAAGAAAACTAAATGGTGAAACGGGTCACTCCTCAAAGCATGGAACATTTTCTTTAACTCGGCCTAGTAAGGAAAAACAAAACAATAGAGCAATTACACGGGGAACCGTAACCCGCGAGAGTAACAAATATTGTCTCAAAAGATACAAACTGTACCTGGACCTTAAGCAGCACAATCACCTTGATCTCACAAAATAATACAAACAGAAAATTTAAAGTGTTAAAGTATATTAAAACAATTCTGAAAATGCTGACTACTGAACACACACCCTTCAGGGAAGCAGAAAGCGGCACATGTAGAATCTGAAGTTTCCTTACAACAATATAAAATAAAGTAATTGCCCAAACCACATTCTTTGTAACAAATCTTTACAGTGAAAGAGTTCAAAATTTTAGGAAACACTTTTTGGACACTGAACAGAACTGGGGGGCTGTCAATATTAAGAAGTGGGTAGAAAATGCTGTCCTTTGGGCTCTAGACCCTGCCTGCTTCAGTGCGGAACTCCTCCTCGGTTCTTGTTACAGTGAGATTCTAGTTCCTCCGCAGGCTGTATGGGCTCTGCTACAAAAGACACAACCCGGCCAGCTCTGGGGTGAAAGCATACAAAACTTGTCCCCGGTACCATGAAGTCATGCAAGAGATGTGGTGAGAGAAGTGAAGAAGAGTCCTAAGGAGAAGGCAGGGTAGCCAAGGGCTCTGCTCCGTCCCAGCTTCCACAGATTGGTGAAGTCACAACATTCCCACAAAGCTGGAAAAATGAAAATGATGCTTGTTGCCTAAATCCATGCCACGCAGCAACCAGAAGGCTTGGCATGCGCCCCAACCTGACAGAAAAGTCAATTAAATAAGCTGCAAGTTGAATTTACAACTGTTTCCAACTAAACTTTTTTGGCTCTCATTCCATTTATCATCAGTGGCACGATTTCAAGTGAAGTTTGTGCAAAAAGACTCACTCTCCATTCAATGATGTGCACAGAAGGAGGGAATCTCAAGAGTCTATTTGCTACCTTCTTGGTAGGCTCTGAGATCAGAGTGCCCTGCCCTCCAGCAGCCAAAATGGCCTCTTTGTCCAATGTCCATCACACCCCCTGCCCAGATCCCTGAAGTCAGTCGGTGTCACGTGCATTCGGCATGCTAGGTTTATTTATTTAAATATGCGAAGCTCCTCCTGCAGGTGCCCCAGGATTGTGCCCCCATTAGTTTTGGGTGCCCAGTTTCATGTTGAGCAGCAGAGTGCAATCTGCTGCACCTTGCCCAGGTCCGTCAGCAGCTGCTTGATGCAATGCTTGAGCTGTGGAAGCCTGGCCAGCGGCTCCGGGGGCTCCAGTTCCCCAGTGTAGTCCAGCCAGCTCTCCAACACTGTAGGCAGAAGAGAGAGAAGACCCAGTGAGTTCTCAACACTTGATTTGCAAGAACATCAGCAAGAATTCCACCCTATCCCATCTGAGCACTCGGGGGGCAGGGAGGGAGGGCCATTTCAGGCAACATTGACTCATCACCCTCTCTACAAAGTATTACTGCTAGGACAAAGCTCAAGTGCTTTACAGCAGTGCAGTTCAATAGAACTTTCTGCGACAATGGAAATGGTCTTCATCTGTGTTTTCTAAAACAGTAGCCACTAGCCATGTGTAGCTACTGAGTACTTGAAACGTGGCTAGTGCAACTGAGGAACTGAATTTAAATTTTATTCAATTTTAACTAAATAGTCATACATAGCTAGTGACTACTGTGTTAGTGCAGCTCTAGCATCAAGAAGGCTTTGAAGGATCCACCTTTCTCAGTGTTACTGCCCAATCTTTATAAGGCTTTCCAATGTTGGAAATCAGAGAGCCTGGTGTTTTAGCCTCCTTTTAAGAAAAATGAGAATCTTAAGGGACTTGAAAAAGTCTATTTTCATTTTTTTTTGCTGATGAAGATTCGCCCTGAGCTAACATCTATTGCCAATCTTCCTCTTTTTTTTGCTTGAAGATTAGCCCTGAGCTAAGATCTGTGCCAGTCTTCCTCTATTTTGAAAATTTAATTTTATTTATTTTTTCCCCCAAAGCCCCAGTAGACAGTTGTATGTCATAGCTGCACATCCTTCTAGTTGCTGTATGTGGGACATGGCCTCAGCATGGCCGGAGAAGTGGTGCCTCGGTGCATGCCCGGGATCCGAACCCGGGTTGCCAGCAGCGGAGCGCGCGCACTTAACCGCTAAGCCACGGGGCCGGCCCATCTTCCTCTATTTTGTATGTGGGTCGCTGCCATAGCATGGCTGATGAGTGGTGTAGGTCTGTACCTGGGATCCAAACCCACGAACCCGGCCACCTAAGCGGAGCGCACCAAACTCAACCACTATGCCACAGGGCCAGACGCCACCCCCACCTTTTTTTTTTTTTTTGCTGAGAAAGATTTACCCTGAGCTAACATCTGTTGCCAATCTTCCTCTATTTTTATATGTGGGTTGCTGCAACAGCATGGCTGATGAGCGGTGTAGGTCCATGCTCAGGATCCAAACCTGCAAACCTGGGCCGCTGAAGCGGCGCATGCCGAACTTAACCACTAGGCCTCAGGCCTGGCCCTGAAAAAGTCTCTTTTTATCACCACAAATTCTGATTTGCTTCACATTCATTCCTATCATCAGTAGCACAGAATACTCTCATTTTATTTTCTCTAAGTATTTAATGTAAGATGTCTAGGTACTAACACACTTGATTACAATTAGTTCAATATTTAAAAGGCTGTCTTGCTCCCAAGAACAGGGATTTCT